CGGACCCGGCAGGAGGGGATGGACATGCAGGGGCAATGTTGGAGACTGAGGGAGGAACCATGGGTGTTCCAAGCCAGGCTGGATGGGGCTTTGGGCAACCTGGGCTAGTGGGAGGTGTCTCTGCAGGGGGGTGGAACTCAATGGTCTTTAAGGTCCCTTCCAACCCAAACCATTCTGTGGTTTGGGAATTTGGGAATTTGGGAATTTTGGGAATTTTGCATTTGGCCACAGTGAATGGACGCAAGGCGAGGGGGACGGGGACGGGGACGAAGGGGGTGAAGCTGGGGTGGCACACTGACCTCCATGCTGGAGTTAAAGGCTCGGTTCACTTTGGCTTTGATGTTGACAACTTGCCCAACGCTGAAAAACAGAAAGAGGAGAAAACACGCGGGGGTTATCAGGGGATGACAGCCCATGGTTATCCAGCACTGAGCATTTTGCCACCAAGGTGCCACGGCGTTACAGCTTGCAACGTTGACAGTGGGACATGCCAGGATGGCTGTCGTGACATGGGGACAGCCACCCCCCAGCTGTGGGAGCCCACAGGTGTCCAGCCTGGCAGTGAGATGTCAGGCCCCTGAGCAGCTGTGTTCAAGTGGGTGCTGCCAGGACACTGGAGGGGTGCAGAGGTGCCCGAGGCTTGCTTGGCACCCCTGCCATGCGGGCATGCACGCTCCTGCCAGAGCAAACGGCTCCTCCAGCCTCACATGTGCTGTCCTGCACAATGGGGGGCACCCATGGGGCCTCCCCACGGCCCTCAGACAGAGCCAGCAGCAGCACCAGCTGCTCCTTGCCCTCCTCCTCTCCAGAGCCTCCCAGTAACGGACACCTTGCGATACTGGGAGATGGCAGGAGGCAGGATCCAGGCAGGGATATTTTGCACCATCTCTTGCATGAAACATCTGCTGGCAGCAAACTGCTGCTGGCAGAGTCCAGGAGCTCTGCTCCGTGCCATCAGTAGGCTTCAGAGTAAACATACAAACAGCTTCAGCTCTGCAGCCTAACCCACTCCAGACTGGTAACAACCGAATGAGCAAAACCAGCTTATTGGTGACTTCAACAGCAAACAGAGTCTTTACCGAATGCATTATTAAATCAGGAATATTCCTCATTCCCTAGAAGAGACCAATGCTAGAAAACTCAGTGGAAAAATAAACCCTCTGACTGCCACTGCAGCTTTGCACCGTAAAGGGCTCAAAACCAGGAGCAAGGAAGAGTCAGCATGTGCTTTGGCACCAGAACCCCTGCCTTGCCCCCACACACAACTTCTGCCTTCAAATGCCCATAATCATCTCGGCTCCTCGACATGCTTCACACGTTGGCTCTGGCTGGAGCAGGGGTGGCATGAGGCTGGGACAGTGCCTCCAGCCGTCCCCCAGCATTGTCACCATGCCTGGTGGCAGCCCTGCGCCCACCCTGGCATGCTGAAGCATTAGCAGAGTTACGTGAGCAGCCTCCATGCACCTCCCAGGCCGTGTGCGTCAGTGGGTTAATGCTCCCAACTCACGGCAGCACTGCGTTAGGCCAGCTGCTCTAGGGCTGCAAACGTCCGTACCAGACACCGATCATCCCGTCCCGCTGCCCAGGAGGGTTTATATACGGCTGGCTGGGGCGAAAAGAAAAAGCAAGATGGGGGGAGAGGGTTAGAGGCGATGGAAGCAGTCACACGGATGCTTGGGCTGGCTTTGCAGCGAGGGGCGTGCAGCGGCAGGGGTCCAGGCAGGCATGGGGGCAGCTTGCTCTGTCTATATTACACCCCCAAAGACACTTTATCCTCTCTCTTCTTATCAAATGGCACAAGCTGGTGCCATAAAACCACATGAACCCACAAGAAATCCTCCTGGGAGGCTGCACTTCCATGCGGCAGGGCTGAGGGAGGGGAAGCACCCAATGCCCAGATGGCGGGTTTTTAAGCCAGTGATGCTCTGGGGTCTCTCTGTGCCCCCCAGCACCCACAGCCCTTCCCTGCTCAAGGGG